TCCCCCCCTCCCCTCCCCTCCCCTCCCCTGCTGCCCACGCTGGGCTCAGCCCAGGGCAGGGGGTTCAGGGCTGGGGCAGGTGCAGCTCTCACCCCCAGCACCCCCAGCTCCTGCTCCCAGGGCTGCTCCAGCTGCTCCTCCCWGCCTGGATGGATCCCGGGATTGCCCTGACCCAGGGGCAGCTCCTGGAGATTKCTCTTGTTCAACCTCTGTCCCCCAGAGTTGCCTGATTTCATGGCAGGAAGAACATTTTTGTTTCACAAAACAACAATTATTCCCTGCACACCTGGGATATTCCCTTGGAAAACGAGAACCAGCAACATTTCACCAGCTGACGTTAAATTCCTGATTTGAGAACAACTGCCCAAGTATTTCTCTATGATCTTGGACAGTGGGAGGAGCAAAGTCTCTGATTTTTAGCTGGCTGTCCCATCAGAAAAACCCTTCATTGCAATTCCCCTTCCCTCACCTATCCCAGAAGCCCTCAGAGCCCGTGCTCACCTGACTGTGGCTGTTGTCCCCATATCTGCCCATCAGRTTGACTCGGTGGCAGTTCTTGTACCAGAAGGCTCCCTTGTAGGACAGAGCACAGTTGGTGATGGCAGAGTCGTTGTCCTTGTCAAAGGTGGAGAAGGACCTTCCATTGTGGTAGGTCATGGAGTCACCTGGGATGGGGGAAAAACAAAGACCAAGGTCAGGGATTTGCATGGTTTAGATTTCACAGCAGTGCTCATCCTACAGAAAATTTGTTTGGACTGGGCCATGCCCTGTCTGTATCTTATTTTTTTTTAATTACTTGTTCTAATATAGAAGGAAATACACTCTTTTTTGTGGTTGCAGGCAAGTCAAAATATTTTTCCAGGTGGTCTCTAATCCCCATATTAAGGGATTTTTTTTTCTTCAGCTCAATCTCTGCACTTGTTGCTGAAAGCTGGATTTTGGCTCTGTACTGTGTGGACAAACTGAGTCCAAAGAGATGTTCACAAGGACGGAATCAGGCTCAAAGGAGTCTCAACACTGAATCCTACTCATGGTAGCACCTACTGCTACTCTGCACCAGAGTATTTCCTTTAAATCATGGAATCATAGAAGGTTTAGGTAGGAAGAGACCTTAAGGATCATCCCATCCCACCCCTGCCATGGGAAGGGACACCTCCCACTGTCCCAGGCTGCTCCCAGCCCCAATGTCCAGCCTGGCCTTGGGCACTGCCAGGGATCCAGGGGCAGCCACAGCTTCTCTGGGCACCCTGTGCCAGGGCCTSMYCACCCTCMCAGGGAACAATTCCTKCCCAAAATCCCACCTAAATTAAACAGAGATTAACTCTGCTGCTGCATTTCTTTTGTATCTCYGCAGCCKGGGTGGAAGTCCCTGTGCTGGTCACAGGGCAGAGCCCACACCCCCATCTCTGCTCTGGTTTATGCACCCAGCAGTGTGAAATTATCTCCTTTTAAAACATGTTTTTAAACTGGATTTACTCTTAATCCTTTGAAGAACACTCACCAAGGGCTGCAGAGTTTGCCCYGGTGTGATCACAAAAAACAGACGAGTTGTTCAGCAAAATTATAAATCACATTACAGCAGGGCTTGGCTGCAAATTCCACTGACAGCAAAAGAGGCTGTGCCAAGCCATTATTAGGTGTAGAAATGACAGCCAAGATGGGCCAAATGAGATATATTGGGGTTTAATACACTTGTCCCAATCCTGCCATAAKCAGGCTGTGAAATACGGCGCCAAAGCGCCTGGAGGATTTAAGAGGGAAACATAAAATACATTGATAGAGTCGATTCTCAAACACCTCACACAGGAGAGGCACTGSCTGATCTGCAATATTCACATGGTTACCTTGAGGCAAAAGGGAGGAAATCAGGGATTAGAAGGGAAAAAGTGAATTTTTGCTCTCACCTGCCGTGCCGCTGTAGCCATCCACGCGCAGGCGGTACCTGCTCTTGGCGTCGCCCACGCTGAAGCGATCGTACACCGCGTACGCCGTGTCCCCCTTGTCCCTCAGGTCCACCCGCAGCTCGTACTGCCCCTGAGAGGTGATTTTGTGCAAGTTCTCCAGACCTGGGGGCAGAAAGGGGTGTTTGTCTCTCGCTGTTTTTTACTCGACTGTTAGGAAAATCCATCCACAAACACCAGAGTTTTGTGTCCAAAAAGGAGACAGAGGAGTCCTGTGCTTTTATTTGAATAAAGAGAGAGGCCATGGGGCATTTCCATGGGGTGTCTCCAATTGCTGGAGGGCACAGCCTCCTTTTATCCCAAATTCCTGACCACATTTCCCTCTCTTTCCCCACTGGCTGAGGGACTGGAGAGGTACAGACTCCCCCAATCCCCTAACACAGACCCCTTCTCATGTGCATCCCCTCACGCTTTTTATTCTTTGTGTCTCTGTCCTTTTTCTCTAACTCCAGAGATTTAGCCCTGCCTTGGGTCAGTACTAGTCTGTGTCAAGGGGTGGAATTGCCATGGAATTTATGGTTCCATCATTGCTCCTTTCACCTGTCAGGATCWGGCCTGATCTCCCAGCAGACCCCACAGTTTGTTTGCAAAGTCACCTCCCTCTCATTCCTTTCATCYACCATCCCATTATTCCATAAATGAGGCTGTTCTGATAGAGCAGGACACCAACCCTGATAAGGACACTGAGCTGGAGCAGCTGGAAGGTGCTGGCTTTGCTGATTTTGTGTTCACAAAAGCATATCAATAAACCCAAACTGCCTGGGAGAGCTCTTCCCTTCAAATCACAGGAGCAGGTTGGCAAGAGCAACCAAAATTGTGCTGTGTGATCATCATCATTTTTCATTTACAACCAAAAAAACTCAGCACAACCTTTCAAAATGAGCAGCTTTTRCTTCCATTTTTCCCAAATGTGGTTTTATGAGCTCTATTTTCCCTCTCTGGAGTATAACCTTTGTTGCTGGGTGTGTCCCAGGAGGGCAGGATGATGAACCTGCTTCCCAGGCTGTCGCTGCCTTCTCCCAGAGCCCCACTGGGATCAGGGGGGTACATTTGGTGACCCCAGCATGGCATCCTTGAACTCCAGC